CCCAGGAAATTGGGTTTTTTTGGTTTTGGCTGGCGGGTGCTGCTGTCTCGTGGACGCCATCAGGCTGCGTTAGACTCGACTGGACTGTGAAGCCGTTGTCCAGGTCTGTCATCTTAGTCCTCTTCCTGAAGAAAAGAAGCTTTCGGGTTAGTAACTATTACTGAGCAAAAGAGAATATCCTGTGTTTTGTATGTAAATTGTGTTCTTTAGAGAACTGTTCTTTAGAGGGTCCTGTTTGGGTATATGATTCGCTTAATTCAATCCTACATTAAATTTTGTTGCAGAGGAAGCTATCATAAAAAAGTGTTACATTGGACGCTTAAGGTAACTTAGAAGTATAAAATGACTTGTTTTTCTTCTAAATAAATGGTCCAGTGTTATCGTAGATGTAGCCAAAGTGTCCTGAAATATCCGTTTAATAAAAAAAGCCTGTTTTATTATTAAGAAGACTAATGGTGTTTTACAGGATCTTGCTAGCATTCTATTCTGCATTGTTACTACAGTAAATGGTTATAGTCAAGGCCCTTTTCTTGCACATACAGGTAGTAGGTGGCTAATTTTAGCAGGAATTAAAACTGTAGAAATGAATTTTAGCATCTGCATGAGTGTTTTGAGAATGGGGCACGGAGGGTTATGTACTAATGGGACTCACCCCCCTCCTCTCCCATTTTCTTCAGTGCCATACTTCCTTGCTTTGTTGCTTACAGGCCTTAAAGCTTAGAGTAAGGTAATGCTAAATACTAGTCAGTATGCTTTGGATATACAGAGAGATTTTGAAAATGGTTGTAAACCGTGTGAAATGCTGAAAATGTGCAGCATCAATTTAAAAGTCGATCATACATGTAATGATAAACAACTGTATAAACATCTCTGCGCACTCTCTAAAATACTGCTTTTGATACAGTAGTTATTTGAGAATGCCCTGCTTAGCGTATTGCAGGAAGACCATCAAGCAATTGAATGAAATGACAGAACTGTGTATCTTTCAGATACAAATAAAGCTAGGCCTCAGTCCTAGAGCCACAGAGAAACAGACCTCCATTTCGGTAGAATACTGTGTAGTCCATATATGTACCTGACTTCTTGCAATGCCAATGAATGTCAATAAATTGGACAATTTTTCACATATGCATTCTAAAAATAGTGATTTACTTTAAATTGGTATTTTGCATAACTTTGTTATAAGCAGTAAAAATTTTGAAAGTAATTACATTTTTTCTGTAGAGTGAAAAAACTGTATATTTTGTAATAAAAATAAGTTCTGAAAACCTGGTGCATGGTCTTTGCTTTTCTTAATTCTTTGCATTGACAGTCTTTATTCATGTTGATTGGAAAAAAGTCACGTGAGTTACAACTGTGTGATTAGCTGTTATTGTGAAATAAAATGTCTTTTTAAGAAGAAATTATTGTAGATAAAATTTCTTTGGTGTATTTGAATAGTTTGTTTTTAATACAAAATCAGTTCTTCTAATTATTACAATATGTTATATTTGAGTGAAGCACTTTGGATCTCTCCTAGTCATTAGGCCTAAAATTAATGACTAATAATTGTGGGTAGGTAGTGGATCAGTAGAACAGCTAACTTGACTATCTCTGTTAAGCAAATCAATGTTGAATGGATAGCATATGGCATATATATAATTGCAAAATAAAAACAAGGTAATTTTAAGCTTACATAGAGATTTAAGTTTTTAACAGAGACTCAGATTTTGCACACTGTATTTTCCTGATACAGTGATGCACAGTGTCTTCCAATTATGTTTAAACTTTTCTCTTAGGAGATGACTTATATGGGCTTTTTAATACCAAAGCAGGCCTTGATTGTTGGATGTAGTCTGTGAACTTAGTGTGAAAGAGGTGTTCGCTTTGCTGAAGTAAGTTCTTATTTATTTGATCACATATGATAAATACGTGCTGCTTGTCACACCGATTTCATTGATAGCGGCATTGTAATTTGAGATAAAAAAGGAAACTAAACCACTGGAAAATAAATACTTTTCTTTGAAATGGTGAACAAAGTGTTAATGTATTTGAAGTAAATGGAAATTTCAGGAGTATAGAATAACAGGAGGACACTGGCAATTCCTGTCTGACAGTGGACACATCAGTAGTTTGTAATCTACTGCAGTGCAAAAAGCCTTGTGCTGGATGAATTTGGCATTGTCAGGCTGCAGAGGATGTTTCTTCTCCTATTTTTCTTGGTTTTAATTAGTCTTTGGTTTTTAACCTTTATGTAAATGTGATCTCTACTGTTTGGAATGCCTTTTGACTCCTGTAGGTCTCTGTGTCTTAAAGCAGCAAGATTCAAGATATACTAGTGTTATGTGAAAGGTGGGAATATTTCCTTTTATTAAATGCCCCGCTTCTTAATGTTACTGAATTGCGAGTAGGTAGAAGGAGCAGATGAGAGAGTCTGGTTTATCTTCCTTCTGTTGTCTGTTTTCTGTGTGCCTCTAAGTTTTTGCTTCCAGATTTTTTCAGGACTGTGAGGGCCTTTACATTTTTTAAATTTCTCCTAATTCAGGTACCTTACTGTATTTCAAAATATTTTCACAAACTTTTTCTGAATCCATTCCTGTAAAGACAGTGACTGGAATTGATTTCAACACTCCTAGTACCTCTTACTCCATTCTTCATCTGTCCTGTTCTTGTGTTTGTCATTCAGACTCCATGTAGACTTTCAGGTCTTCCTTTAATGTTATCTTTGGATTGGTCTGTGTGCTCTGCGTTTGACTGAAACTTGAAAAATCCAGTATGTATCTCCTAATTAAATCTTCTGAAGCATGTTTCTGCTAACCCTTGATATATCAGAACAAATCTTCAGGGGAATTCTGCCCATGGCACGCCCCACCCCCCCCACCCTCCCTTGTATGGAGTGAATGGATACTGGATTGCACTGCGGCTCTGTGTACATTGATGGCCTCCTTTTTCTGAAGTAACCAGAAAAAGCAAATATTTTTTTTAAATACAATAATAAAATTATAATGTACTTTTGGAAGTTAAATTTCTTCATACCAGCCTGTACTATGCTGTGTTTTGGATCTGTGGCTAAAATAGTGTTGATAGCACACCAGTGTTTTGCCAGTTGCTGTACAGTGTTGGGACAGCTGACCAGAATTGGTCAAGGGGATAGTCCATACCATGTAATGTCATCCTCAGCAATGAAAACTGGAACTAGAGGAAGAAGAAGGGGGGAGGGGGGTTGGCTCCCAAGGTGGCTGTTTTTCAGAGACTGGCCAGTCATTGGTCTGCTTGTGAAAGGTGGTGAGTGATTTTCTTTGCATCGCCTCTGTCTTATTCCTTCACCTATTAAACTGCCTTTGTCCTGACCTATAAGCTTTGCTCTGTTTCTCCAGTTCACTCCCCTTCGTACTCAGAGAGGGATGGAGAGCCAGTGAGTAGCTGTGTGGCTGCTTGGCTGCTGGCTAGAATCAACCCACCACACATCTGAAATGCAGTTGCAGTAACTCCAACAATATTTGAAACCTGGATTCTAGTGACATAGTATTTATCACAGGTCTGAATGAAAGCTTGGTTTTGGGGTTATGTATGTATTTGTTTTCACTTTCATAGAATCATAGAATGTTTTGGGTTGGAAGGGATCCCTAGAGGTCATCTAGTCCAACCCTCATGTATAAGGCTGTTTGAGTTAGGAAAGTTTAGAAGGATTATGAGGCTGTTCTTTGAATTACCTCTGTTAAATTTTTCTAGTGTCCTCTCAGACTGAGCAACACAGATCTGTCTGCTAAATTGAGGCATTCTCAAAGTGTTTGACAGTGTTTTTTGTCCTTTCTTGCTCTTTAAAAGTGGTGGATCCTTTTTCATGTTGTCCCATAAGGTGAAGTTTACAGTGTTTAAAAAATACAAGAAAACTCTCCACATCTTTAATACTGTTTTTGTGGTCAAAGATGTTGATGACAGAAAGTGCTCTACGCCTATCTTTTAGTCAGTTCATATGGTGTGCAGTTTCAGTATCAATGGATAGCTGTTAACAGCAAAAAAAAAGGCAAATATTAATCTAACTTCACCCTTACCTTTCATATACAATTTTAGTTCTTTCTGAAAGCTGAAGAGAAATCTTCAAAGTATCTTTGGTTTGGATCATGATCAAGATCTCCTACTATCTTTCTCCTGAAATTAAGCAGCGGATCTCCCGAACATAGGCCTACCATCACACTTGTGTGTCAACAAGATTCATCTTCAGTCTAAGAATTGATACTAGCAGGGAAAGAATGGTCTAAGACTACCAGAAACATTTGTTTTTCTTTCCTCTTTAGAATCTGGATAATAGAGGGCATAATGTTACCAACATTAGAATTACTTAAAAAATTTTTTTTCAGATCATGATACAGTAGTCATGTATACTTTCCTCCTTCCTGGGAGGCTGACATTCATTAGTCTTTCGCATTGGGATATACAACTGTCTGCATTGCAATGAGATGAGATTGCTGTAGTCCTAAGAACTACCTACTGAGGATTTTTACAGGTGTGCGGCCATCCATCTGCTAAAGAGTGAAAAGCCCATGACGTTGTCCCTAACCAGTTTTCTAACTTATTTTTACTGTTGTTTGAGGTTGCATCAGTATACTTGCTCTTTGCATAGCCCCATCTTTAGGGCAGCATTCCTATAGCAGCTAGGAATATTATTGACAGAGGTATCACAGGGACATGCAAGAAGAATTTTCTGGATCAGATGCTTACTCCTGTCAAGCCATTGTGGAGATACACCATAGTGTAAAGTTTTACTCAGTCATGTAGGTTTATTGTAATAGGATGCTACTTAGGTGATCTCAGTGCTGTGCTTTTGGAGCTCAAATCAGGCCTTGCTTTCTGTAGATAGACTTGGGGAGGAACTGTATTTAAGAAGCAGAAGCCTTCTGTAGGATGTATTGAAATTCTAAAGGAGTCTAGAAGTAACCTCTTGAAATAGGGTCTATACATGAATGCAGATCTGTGCAGCAATATGTCTGTAAGTAAGAATATTTGAATAAGGAAGATGTTGAGTAGATTTTACTTATTGTTGTTAGCTTTGGACTTTATCTTGTCTTATGTATGTCTCAAAAGGCTAATTTAGTTATTTTCCACATAACTGGGGTCTTGTAGTCTTGGCAAAAGCTTAAAGGCTGGGCTTGTTCATGTTAAATATAGAAAAGAGACAGTAAGGGTGCTGGAACCTGTGGGGCTGCTGCATTGTCTATTTTGCTTGATTGACATATTCTGTATTATCAGGATGGAGTGAACTATTTATATGCTTGTCCACATGTATAGAAGTGATTACACTGTGATATTAATAGAAGTGAAAGTAATTAACTTTGAAGCCACAGATTGTTTTGACTTCATTACTTTGAGAACATGTGAAGTATAAATCACACCTTATTATGATTTAGTGTTCAAGACTGTATGGATCTGAAACATTGGCACTGATTAGAAAAGAACTTCCCTCTGTACTTCAGGGCTTTCCATGCCAACTTAAAAATGCTTATATTAAAGAACAACTCATAGTTGTGTGTTTTTAGTAACTATTGTAGTCACTCTCCTTTTTCCTGCTGGGATTCGCAAATGAGTGGCACCTGCAGTGTTTCATAATATCTTTTCCTGAGTTAAGGGCTGTGTATGAACTGAAATCATATTCTGCTGCTCAGTTCTATTACCAAGTATATTTCTTGTTAGGCTTATAAATACATTTCTTAGATGTGAAATTTTTCATTACATGAAATAGCATGAACTCTCTAGGTTTTGATGCATAGCAGATACTTTTATGTGAATTTATGAATATTTTGAACAAGAGCAAACATTAAAGGATTATTTGATTTGGTATGTTTTGCTTAGAGTTAATAGTTGTATGTGCAGAATACAATCAGTGGTATATTAACAGTAGACTTGGCACTCCGTATTCAGCTGTAGTCCACTAATAGTTCAATTATTAGTTCATTGTATTTCAATGATCAGTGAATTGTGACTGACTTAATCTTCTGCTTTTTATTCTTTAGTGCTGCAAGTTGATTGAATAAAATTAAGAACATGGAATATTATATGGATGCAGTTCCTTGAGCACCGTTTCTTCCAAAGTATGTTTTCTGCAGATTGTTGGCCTGAATGATTGATAAGCAGCATACACAAGACTAATATCAAGAAAACATTGTCTGTTGCTGCTGTGTTTGACAAAACCAGTGCAGAGTCACATCTTCTGAAATGCAGTTGAAAAAAATGAGGGAAATTTTACCAAGATTGTACCCTGACCAAGTTAATGATAAAAATAATTCCTTAACTACATCCCCAAAGCAATCTTCTGAGGATAAAACAAATCCATCAAAAGGGGATGATGACCAAAACTGCTGTTACCAAGGGACTGAGGCTGAGAATAATAAGTTGTCACTGATAGACTGTATAAAATGCAGAAATGTTCAGAAAATTTCAATGCAAGATATAGAAAAGCATAAGAAGCTTGGGTGGACTGAAGACAAAAATTTCATCTGCAAGAAGTGCAGTCATGTTACGCCACCAGCTTTCCATTTTGTTCCTGATGGTGCCAATGCTGTAGGCTTCGAAAAACCTGAAAAAAAATCCCCAAGTAAAATCCAGAAAACATTTAAAGTTAAAAACTTTCTGCCGGGTAAATATTACTGTGATAAATGTAGATTTTCAACAAAGGATCCTTTGCAGTATAAAAAGCATGTAGGTCAACATGAAGAAATTAAATTTATTTGTTCCCACTGTAGTTATATATCCTACACCAAAGGAGAATTCCAGAGGCATTTGGTGAAACACACTGGGACTTTTCCATATCAGTGTGAATACTGTGAATATGGTGCTGTTAGACATGACTATATAGTAAAACACACAAGAAGAGTACATGAAATGCCTGCAAAACGGCTGTCAAATACTGTCATAAATCACAAGCAAAAGAAGCCGAGTCAAAGCACTTTATTTGAAAAGCAGAAATACGATAGAATTCCCTTTCAGAATGAACTTTCAAATTTGTCTTCAAATATGTTTTGTGAGATTCCAGATAAGGTAACTAAAACAATCTGTTTGTCTCATGATGTGGAATGTAGTGTGAACACAGCATCAGTCCAGGATAAAACAATATTGGAGCCATCTGAAATAAGTGTGTGTGAGAATCAAAGTGTTGAAGTTGAGCTTTATTCTCCAAAAATGGAGCCTTTACAACCTGGGGTGCCTTTAACAGTAATTGCACCGTCTGAGCTTGTAGTTCCTTCTAACTGTTTAGCTCAGATAGTAGAGATTAAAATAGTGAATGGAGCACAACAGCTGGTTCTTAAACTAATTCCTATGAAAGAAGCAACTTACAAACCTGTGAACAGTACTGAAGAGGAACCTGAGAATCAAGGTATAGGACGATCTGCAGAAGGAAAAAAACCATCTTCTGTATCTCAAAATGAGTTACTAACCATGGAACTGAATGTAGACAAATTAACCAGTGTTAGTAACCAGCTTAATTTGGATAGTACATATGACAAGAATTCTGAATGTCTTTGTTTTCCTGATTCTCAACTCTCAGATTGTAACTCTGTATCTATACAGAGGGAAGATGCATCAAAATTATGCTTTCATTTGGTGAAAGGTATTGATGTCCATTCAGGTGTTATAGAACTTTGTTCTCCATCTCTGGTGATGAGTAGTACTGAAAAAAAAAGTGATCTTAAATCCACAAGGTGGGAAGTAGATGGAAAAAATAACTTACATTATGACTTGTATTGTTATGAAGAAGGTGTGGATGTACTCCCTCCAAAATATGCTGCTATTTCTGAAGAGAAGAGTTCCAAGAACATTTCAGTAGAGGCCGCTCAGGAGGGCAAAAATTCCTCTTCTTCTGCAGTCCTTAAACAAAAAGATACATTGCCTCTAAAGAGGGATGACAAAGATTATAGAAGTCTGCCAGTCAGCTCTACAGAAACATGTTTAGGTGGTAAGGGTTTTGATAAAAAATCTGTTATATCTTCTGAAGCAGGGAAAAACTTTCATGTCACTAAAACTCCATCTTGTGAGGACATGACTTTTGGCTTTAGCAAAGTAAAGAGAGCTGAAACAGTAAGTCAAAAGAACAATCTTCTTCTGGAATCATTAGAACTACAGAAGATGGAAAATAAAGGCAACCCTTTTGAGGGACCTGTTATTTCGTCTGTATTTTCTCTTAGCTCTGGGGCTGAAAACGTTCCAGAGGGTGTCAGATGGGATGACACAACATGCAATAAGAAGTCAGCAACATTGCTGTGTCGAAAGATTGCTCAGCTCATGTCTGCTGCTGAATCCAACATGAGATCCATGCCTTTGAGATGTCAAGCTTCTAGTAAAAAGTTGCTTTTCCCTCAAGAAAATTCAGCAAGCTGTGAGGGAGTTGTTCCTGCCTCTGAAGTGGACCAGTCTGCATCTTTGTCTCAAGTGCATGGTGGAAGCAGTGTGATTAGTAGTGAAGAATACGGTAAAGATCAGTTGCTTACATTTGCAAGAACATCTAAAAACAGGGTAACCAAAAATTCCCATGTTGCTACTCCAGTGTTTATCCCCAAAGGGACAATGCTGAGAGTACTGAATGCTACTAGCAGTCAAAAATCAAATGGAATAGAAAACAGGAGTGAAACACCAGCTCCTTCTATGTATCGCAATGAAATGTTTCTGCCTCGCCCAGTTCCTGTCAGTGTTTCTGAGACACTTAGCAGTAGTTCGCCATGTTTGCCTAATCAGAGTGAACCGAATGCTCAGTCCCGAGGTGTGTCACTCCGGCAAAGACCAAAGCGAGAGGCAAGTGTTAAAAATAATAACAAACAAACTGGTGTACTGTTTCAGAAAAGCAGTGATGTGAGTAAGCAAAGCAAACCCTACTCAAAAGGTCAACTAGGTCCCAAAACCAAGGTGAAACAAGCAAGCTTCAGGGAACTTCCGAAGAGGAAAACAAGAACTCAGTTGGAAGCTAGTTCAAGTTCTGACATGTCTTATCTATTGACAGCAAGACGTCTTCGGCTTGTCCCTCTGAGAATGAATCAGTTGATAAAATGCCCTCGTCGTAACCAGCCAGTTGTGGTACTAAACCATCCTGATGTTGACTCGCCAGAGATAATTAATGTCATGAAGACTATCAACAAGTATAAAGGTCAAGTCCTGAAAGTTGTTCTCTCAGAAAGGACAAGTAGTTGTCTTGGTGTCAAACGTTATCGAAAGCGTCTTACTCTTCAAAATGTTGAGACAGGAAGCCAAGCAAAAAAGCAGAGTATGCTAAAAATGAAACTAAAAAAGACCCATAAAAACAACTACCAGGTGGTGGAAACTTCACCAGCTGAAACACTTCAGTGTATGTTTAAGTGTTGGTTTTGTGGAAGAGTATATATGGACCAAGAAGAATGGATAAGTCATGGACAGAGGCACTTGATAGAGGCAACCAAGGGCTGGGATGTTCTTTCTCTTCCAGCAAAAAAGCATTAACTGAGAGACTAGGGTGCATTTCCCCTCTTACTTTTAATGAGTGCCACTAACTTGCTTGGAAAGTAAGATTGAAATAACTGCTTTATTTTGCCAAAAGGTCTCTACTGTTAGCAAAGTGGGAGAGGAGAGCAGAGTTATGGAGATACAGAGAAGCTGATAGTGAGTACTAAGCACTACTTTGCACTCTCATGTTTGAAATTTGTATTGGAGGTCAACTTCATCTGTTCTAGAGGAGAAATTTGAAAAAAGATTTGCTATGCAAGCATCTTTCTAGTTACCATTCTCTGTGTTAGGATACTGTGCTGTAACTGGTTTGTGCTAGGTCTGTGGATTAAAATCTTAGACGATAAGATCTTTGTAAATTTAACAGGGTTTAGTTTGCTGTATTACAGCATGGTATTTCAAAGGTTGAGCATGCGTGTACTGAAAAGCACCTTTGATCCTCTGTGGGCAGCAAGTATATATCATAGGTTTTAGTGGCAAATTAAGCACCATGCATAAAAAGTAAAACCTGAATATGAGTACTCTGTTTCAGTGAAAAAAAATACATTTCTGCTGACTTCACAGGAGATACAAGGGTGTGAATGACAGATGTGTGGGATCAGAGTTACTCCCACTACTTCAGATAGCACTAAAAAATTTAATTTTGTTTAGTACTTAAGTCTTTACCTAGCCTGTATTGCATAGATGTGAGAAAGAAAGCAGAACACTGTTAGCTTTCTGCACCATCTTTGTTCTGAGCAGGCAGAGCCAGAGATATCATCAGGCTTGGACTGATAGGAGGGAGAAGCTTTTCTCTGCATGGTCTCAAGGCTGTTCTGAAATCTAAGTAAGTAATAGCCAAACATAAACCCTTTATCACTGTGTGTGTAGCCTGATAGAAAAACATTTGCAGAATTGGGCATTTGGTTAGAACTCTAGTTAGTGTGTCAATACTTATTTACAGGGAGAACTTGCTGCAGATGAAGACTTTTCAAAATGGAAAACCATGTTGCACAGCGTTTACATTGACAGTGTTGAACCAGATTTTCAGTGCAATCTTTCATCCTTCTTAGGAATTTAGATGTTATTTTTTGTAGGTCTCAATTCGAACAAGCATGTGCCTAGTTACATATGTACGTCTAATGTGTATTTACTGACTTCAGTGCGGTGTAAACGTTGCTCAGTTGCTTAAAAACTTCCCTAGATCAGGGCCAAATTTCAAGTTTTTAGTGAAGAGGGATGTATGATACTGAAGTCTAATGTTCCTGTACATGAACAATAGATGTTTTTCTTCATCTTGTCAATTTTAAATAATTTTAAAATCATACAGAATTAACTATACTGAAGCACATATTTACAATTAAAATAAATTAACATTAATTTTTACAGATAAAATCAATACTGACTCTAATGCTGGATGTGTGTTCTATGTTTGAACTGGGACTACTCTTGAAAAACTGGTAGTCCCTAACTCTTTTCACTGTTGGTGCATTTTTGTAAACAGTTTAAGCTGGGAATATTTTTTATATATACTCCAGCAGATTATACATTGTTTTGATAAAGTATGTATGGTATCTGTATTGAAATGTAAATATTTTAAAACTACATCTGACTGAGGCTTATTTTCAAAACCAGTTAAAACATCGCTTTCCAGTCATTTTGCAATACAGTGTTAAAATATTTCAGATAGTTGGTGCTTTTAATTCAGATCTTTGTCATCATATGCACATGGAAAATTTTTGTATCATTTGTATTAGACTGACCTGTTCCACAGAACAAACTTCCTTTTGACTGTTTTGTCAATAATGATGAAATGACAGTTCTTATTTTGTATTCAAATGGAGTTATATTTTTTTAGATGGGTACACTAGAGGGTTTTTTCACTTCATATACTTTGATGCCAAACGTAACAGTACTGTTTGCATTTTCGATTGTGAAAATAGCTTCCATTCTAAAATTCTGGTATATCGCATATAATAAATACTGAAATTGTTAACATACGAAAAAACATGGTTAAAATTCCTCCTTTGTTTTTACCCCTTCAGTCCAGGTTAATGTTTGAATTAATTTTTTTTCTGTAGAAGCTACAAAATAAATAGTTTTGAATTTACTTCGTAAGAGTTGTCACTGGCAAAATTAAAACATTCCCCATGAAAGCTGTACTGGGGGTGGCGGGGGAATGCTGCTGCTCAGCATTATAAACTAGGTGGCTTAAGTATACTACTAATGCTTGTCTTTTGTAAGCAAGTTTACTGTTGCAGCAAACATCTGCAAAGCTTTGTATGTCAGTTCCATAATCTGCTATTCAAATTCTTAAGCAGTGTGTTCTTCATGGGTTCAATTTGATTAATTGGTGGTTTTTTTGTTTTGTTTTAACATGAAAACCTTTTTTAAGTTAAATTGTATGGTGGGTATGAAACTCTTAAAGCAGATTGTCATGCCTCTTCCTTTTTATGAGCTCTGCCACACTCTACTTAGCAGCTTCTGGTTTGTTAATTATAATTTTTATTATTAGATAATGACGTGTCAGAATAACTTCCTTCAAGTTTAACGGTCTCAGTGGTTTGGGAGAAATAATTATAATAAATCTTCCCTTGCATTTTGATGCAGCATTGAGAAATAGAAAGGGGCATTGGGTTTGTGTGGCAAGGTTTTGGTAGTGGGGGGGACTACAGGGATGGCTTCTGTGAGAAGCTGCCAGAAGCCTCCCTATGTCTGATAGGGCCAGTGCCAGCCAGCTCTGAGACAGACCCGCCACTGGCCAAGGCTGAGCCCATCAGCTGCCGGAGGTTATGGAGATACAGAGAAGCTGATAGTGAGTACTAAGCACTACTTTGCACTCTCATGTTTGAAATTTGTATTGGAGGTCAACTTCATCTGTTCTAGAGGAGAAATTTGAAAAAAGATTTGCTATGCAAGCATCTTTCTAGTTACCATTCTCTGTGTTAGGATACTGTGCTGTAACTGGTTTGTGCTAGGTCTGTGGATTAAAATCTTAGACGATAAGATCTTTGTAAATTTAACAGGGTTTAGTTTGCTGTATTACAGCATGGTATTTCAAAGGTTGAGCATGCGTGTACTGAAAAGCACCTTTGATCCTCTGTGGGCAGCAAGTATATATCATAGGTTTTAGTGGCAAATTAAGCACCATGCATAAAAAGTAAAACCTGAATATGAGTACTCTGTTTCAGTGAAAAAAAATACATTTCTGCTGACTTCACAGGAGATACAAGGGTGTGAATGACAGATGTGTGGGATCAGAGTTACTCCCACTACTTCAGATAGCACTAAAAAATTTAATTTTGTTTAGTACTTAAGTCTTTACCTAGCCTGTATTGCATAGATGTGAGAAAGAAAGCAGAACACTGTTAGCTTTCTGCACCATCTTTGTTCTGAGCAGGCAGAGCCAGAGATATCATCAGGCTTGGACTGATAGGAGGGAGAAGCTTTTCTCTGCATGGTCTCAAGGCTGTTCTGAAATCTAAGTAAGTAATAGCCAAACATAAACCCTTTATCACTGTGTGTGTAGCCTGATAGAAAAACATTTGCAGAATTGGGCATTTGGTTAGAACTCTAGTTAGTGTGTCAATACTTATTTACAGGGAGAACTTGCTGCAGATGAAGACTTTTCAAAATGGAAAACCATGTTGCACAGCGTTTACATTGACAGTGTTGAACCAGATTTTCAGTGCAATCTTTCATCCTTCTTAGGAATTTAGATGTTATTTTTTGTAGGTCTCAATTCGAACAAGCATGTGCCTAGTTACATATGTACGTCTAATGTGTATTTACTGACTTCAGTGCGGTGTAAACGTTGCTCAGTTGCTTAAAAACTTCCCTAGATCAGGGCCAAATTTCAAGTTTTTAGTGAAGAGGGATGTATGATACTGAAGTCTAATGTTCCTGTACATGAACAATAGATGTTTTTCTTCATCTTGTCAATTTTAAATAATTTTAAAATCATACAGAATTAACTATACTGAAGCACATATTTACAATTAAAATAAATTAACATTAATTTTTACAGATAAAATCAATACTGACTCTAATGCTGGATGTGTGTTCTATGTTTGAACTGGGACTACTCTTGAAAAACTGGTAGTCCCTAACTCTTTTCACTGTTGGTGCATTTTTGTAAACAGTTTAAGCTGGGAATATTTTTTATATATACTCCAGCAGATTATACATTGTTTTGATAAAGTATGTATGGTATCTGTATTGAAATGTAAATATTTTAAAACTACATCTGACTGAGGCTTATTTTCAAAACCAGTTAAAACATCGCTTTCCAGTCATTTTGCAATACAGTGTTAAAATATTTCAGATAGTTGGTGCTTTTAATTCAGATCTTTGTCATCATATGCACATGGAAAATTTTTGTATCATTTGTATTAGACTGACCTGTTCCACAGAACAAACTTCCTTTTGACTGTTTTGTCAATAATGATGAAATGACAGTTCTTATTTTGTATTCAAATGGAGTTATATTTTTTTAGATGGGTACACTAGAGGGTTTTTTCACTTCATATACTTTGATGCCAAACGTAACAGTACTGTTTGCATTTTCGATTGTGAAAATAGCTTCCATTCTAAAATTCTGGTATATCGCATATAATAAATACTGAAATTGTTAACATACGAAAAAACATGGTTAAAATTCCTCCTTTGTTTTTACCCCTTCAGTCCAGGTTAATGTTTGAATTAATTTTTTTTCTGTAGAAGCTACAAAATAAATAGTTTTGAATTTACTTCGTAAGAGTTGTCACTGGCAAAATTAAAACATTCCCCATGAAAGCTGTACTGGGGGTGGCGGGGGAATGCTGCTGCTCAGCATTATAAACTAGGTGGCTTAAGTATACTACTAATGCTTGTCTTTTGTAAGCAAGTTTACTGTTGCAGCAAACATCTGCAAAGCTTTGTATGTCAGTTCCATAATCTGCTATTCAAATTCTTAAGCAGTGTGTTCTTCATGGGTTCAATTTGATTAATTGGTGGTTTTTTTGTTTTGTTTTAACATGAAAACCTTTTTTAAGTTAAATTGTATGGTGGGTATGAAACTCTTAAAGCAGATTGTCATGCCTCTTCCTTTTTATGAGCTCTGCCACACTCTACTTAGCAGCTTCTGGTTTGTTAATTATAATTTTTATTATTAGATAATGACGTGTCAGAATAACTTCCTTCAAGTTTAACGGTCTCAGTGGTTTGGGAGAAATAATTATAATAAATCTTCCCTTGCATTTTGATGCAGCATTGAGAAATAGAAAGGGGCATTGGGTTTGTGTGGCAAGGTTTTGGTAGTGGGGGGGACTACAGGGATGGCTTCTGTGAGAAGCTGCCAGAAGCCTCCCTATGTCTGATAGGGCCAGTGCCAGCCAGCTCTGAGACAGACCCGCCACTGGCCAAGGCTGAGCCCATCAGCTGCAGTAGTAGAGCCCCGGGATAACATATTTAAGAAAAGGGAAAAAAAACCCTGTTGCAGACAGCAGCCAGAGAGAGGAGTGAGAATCTGTGAGAGAAACAACCGTGCAGACACCAAGGTTGATGCAGAAGGAGGGGAGGAGGTGCTCCAGGCACCGGAGCAGAGATTCCCCTCAGCCCCTGGTGCAGCCCCTGGTGGAGCAGGCTGTCCCCCTGCAGCCCTTGGAGGTTATTGGTGGAGCAGATCTCTACCTGCACCCCATGGAGGACCCCACTCCAGAGCAGGTGAATGTGCCCAAAGGAGGCTGTGACCCCATGGGAAGGAGCCACCCTGCTGGAGCAGGCTCCTGGCAGGACCTGTGGCCCTGTGGAGAGAGGAGCCCACACTGAAGCAGGTTTGCTGGCAGAGCTGGTGACCCTGCGGGGGACCCATGCTGGAGCAGTCTGTTCCTGAAGGACTGCACCCTGTGGAAGGGACCCATGCTGGAGCAGGGGAGGAGTGTGAGGAGTCCTCCCCCAAGGAGGAAGGAGCAGCAGAGACAGTGTGTGTTGGGGACTGACCCCAACCCCCACTCTCCATCCCCCTCGACTGCTTGATGGGTGGAGGTAGAGAAATCGGGAGTGAAGTTGAGTCGAGGAAGAAGGGAGGGGTGGGGGGAAGGTGTTTTAATTTTTATTTACTCATTATGCTACTCTGATTTGATTGGTAATAAATTAAGCTAATTTTACCAAGTTGAGTCTGTTTTGCCCATGACAGTAATTGTTGAATGATCTCTCCCTGTTCTTATCTCAACCCACAAGCTTCTCATTTTATTTTGTCTCCCCATCCCAGCTGAGGAGGGGGAATGATAGAGTGGCTTCGGTGGACACCTGGCATCCAGCCAGGGTCAACCCACCACAAAAGGTTGCAAGGAAATAACAACCAACTGCTAGATTTTTTTTTTTTTAGAGCTAGTTTCTAGCACTACATACTAAATCATAAATTGGGTTGGAATGTCATGTTTTGGGCTTGAATGTTTTTATTCTTGTTCCTGTTCTGTAAGGATAAAGTAACTGAGATTGCTTTCCTGGTATATTTCAATTGCCTGGTCAAACTCCTGAGTGTGCTTAGAAAGGAAGATTATGGATGCTTTCCAGAAAAATACTGAAGTTTGCCTTTCATATTTATAATCAATCTTTAGTTAAGGCTTCCAAAACTGAAATTATATGAATAAATATTGCTGTGTTTTTTGCTGGAAAAACACCACCTTATTCTTGTCCTTGATACACATTGGAGCATGTTCTCGTGCTGAGTTTGAAGCACACCTACTGTTCCTACTGATGATTTTTATCTCTACATTTGCACACGGTGTGAATTCAAAGGGACTGTTTGCATAATGGTCCTACTATGTAAGTGGTTGAAAGCTCAGATATGGAATACAAGTATCTGCTACTCAAGCTAAAGAATAAGTGTTAGCTTTAATTATGTAAATTTATTACTTAACTAACATTATAACCTCCGATACTTAGGAGCACCAGCTAACACCCACTGACTTCAGTGGCTGCTGAGCACAGCATGTTGTGCAAACACATATGCAGACCGAATGAAATTGTTAAACAGTGAATATTCAGATACATAGCATTTCATGTGTATTTTTAAAAGCAAGAATTTTTTTATAGGACTGCAGTATGCTTTATTAGGTAGTGCTACTAACTGAGCTTCAGTAACATTAACAGTAAGCAAGACTGAGTTTGGTTTTTGTCTTGTGTTAGAAGATACAGTGGACGATAAGCAAATTGTGCAATCATTGTAAGATATCAGGAGTGAGTCTCTCTTAACACTTTTCTGTGTATTAATACAATGGCGTATACTTAACCTGTATGCTCAAAGTTAAAAACAAATTACAAGAATCAAAAAATGGAGTAGGTCTGTATTCTCGGTTGGAGAGAAGTCTTTTAGTGGAGCATTTAGAATGCTTCATAATATGGGGAGCTCCTTAATCAAAGGCTAATCTGGTTTTTGAGACACTTAAATAATTGTTCTATTTACATCTATACAAACAGGTAGGTGGTATTAAGGCAGAAAACATCTTTTGTGTGACTTAAATGGATACGTAAGGTAGCATTGTTCTTTCTGGATTCCTGATTTATCCTTTCCGTCAATGAGTGTGATGGGAACGTATTTGTAGAAGTCAATGATTTCTTTCACAGAATTAAATTTCTGTAGGGGAAAAAGAAGAACTGTGATCAGTGACTGAAAATGGAATTGCCAGATGTTTTTGTCTATAACATTAAAAGACTTGCAAATGACAGTATTAGAAATAGGCAATATTTTGCCTAGAATTGTGATTAGATTAGATGGAAGCTATCATAAAAGGAAACGCATCAGAATTTAATCCTCTTAATTCCTTTGTGTGTCTCTGTCTTGTGTAGGAGACAGCAGCTGGCTGCTTAGGGCAAAAGGGGAGCATGTCTAAGCCCTGAGAATGCAGTATCACCTGTAAGTTTGTGACGGTAGATGTGATGATAGATTTGAAAAGATGAAGCAACTATAAATCATAGTACTAACTTTCCTCTGTCAAAAGTCACACTTAATTAGCAATACATGATAGTTTACACTGCAAGTTTCTTTGTGCCTTTTAAAATGTACCTTTTATTTTCCCATTAAGTTTACTGAGAAAATTGCTATGAAATCCCTTTAAAGTATGGAACAAGAAGGTTCTCAGCAAGCTTTTAGTCCTGTTTTCTGGTGTTCAAAACCAAGCCCGTTCCTAAAATAATAAAGGTGTGGTTCAAGATTCCCAAACTGATCAAGCAGCAATGGAAAGCTATCCAAGGTATTTATCCTCATCTGTTGTGGTGAGAGTATCTTAATCTTACCATTCTGATGGTTAGCAGTCCTTCAGTTTAAATAGTTAAAAGGGTATATGAGACCTAATGATACACTTGGTAAAGTTGAATTAAATACATTAAAAAAAATTGTTAATCAAAAATCCTATTTCATCATACACAATGTTAACACCTTATAAACTGTATATGAAAAATGAAGAGTTGAAATCAAATAGGGAAAACTTTGAATAATCATGTGTAAGAAAAAACAAGTTTTTAATGGATGGAAATAGGTTAATCCAAAAGTGAAAACATGCTGCAGAAAATCATTTAAGGTTGAACCTTTGGATAAAATGAACATTTGGGGAAAAATGTAATCAGTCTGCACCTGTTTGTTGTTGTTTAGGTTGCTTTAGCTGGGGAAGAAGAAATGTTCAGCTAATATAGATAAAGCAGCTGGTCTGTCTGCATTGCATACTGCAAAATGTGGTGTGACAAAGGGCTTCCCTGTGGAGGGACAATGCAGAGCACTCTGGAAAGCATTTTAACAGGCACTGGAACATCATAGGCAGCAATTTTGCTGTAATTCACAGCCTTACAACTTGTTTTCACCCTCCTGAGATAAGAGCCTTAAGTGAGCTGCAGAAGTTGAGATGACAGTTTTCAGGAAAGAGCATTTTTGGGGAATCCTTTCAGACTGCCTGAGATGGAAGTAGCTCTGCTGAGCAAGGCTGGTGGCATTGATTGTTCGTTACTGCATGTGTGCTTCATGCCTAGGCCAGCATTAATTTTATTTTCATGTTTGCTGCTGAGAATAATGCATGGAAGCGGGAGGCTGTCATTTCTGTGGCTCCCTGGTACTACGCATAGCTGACTAGCAAAACAATTCTTACGTTTTTCTATTTTACTTGATCTACAGGAGGATTTCTGATTTCAAGAGAAACAATACTCAAAAAAGAAGGCTTAAGGTAACATGTCATGATTACCGATTTGGCCTGGTAGAGCCAAGGCTTAGATACGCTGTTGGTTATTAACTAGATGCTTGAAATCCTTGTTGTGGAATTGTAACTTTCTAATTTGACTGTTGTCAGTCCAGACCCACTGTTTAAGATGTGTACTTTCAGTGCACAAGTGGGAACTTAAAGTTATATATTTTGGTATTTCCTGAGATGGGAGGGATTGTGTTCTCCTTCCTTTTAGTTCAGTAAAAATTGTTCACATATTGTTCAGGTAATTTTCTATCTGCCTTAATTGATAAATCTGTTAAAGTGATGAAGATTTAGTTTTATGTCTTTATTCTGTAGTGTACTGTACACATACTACATTGTCCTGTAGCGTACCGTATTTCAGTTCCATCTTTTTAGTCAGTCATTGTTTCTAATCTGAGCCTTTTTTTATCAGAGCCATTACAGTAAGACTAAATAATGTAAGATCCATGGAAAACTAAACTTGCTTTCCCCTAAATCATACTAGAACTCCAGGAAATTGTCTGGGACGCTCAGTTCAGAAATGCAGACAGTGTTTTACAGAAGACTGATGGTTCACTACAGCAATGCCATGTGATGGTACCTACAGTACAGTTCTCAATTTGTTGTGCCCTTCTGCTTCCCAAACCGTTTCAGTGTGCTTGAACAGTGAAGGGTTTCTTTCTCCTTGTTATTAAACCAGTGTTCCTGAAGGACAACTTGCCAGTAAACCTTACCCTTCATCGCTGAAGGCTCATGAATCCAATCCCATGTTTTCTAATAAGAATCCAAATATAAATCTTAGACCTGCCAAATTTCTCAAGTTAGCTTGGGTCAGTTTTGATTTCAGGTTTTGTTTTTTTTTAAGTCTATATGTAGAAAAGATAAGTTTGTAAGTATTGACACACATGAAAAAGACATACTTGAAGATACAGCTACAGAGGTTTTGCTGATTCACCTTGGTTGGATTTCTGTCTCTCGTTCACATAGCTAATAACCCTCATAGTTTGCTGCTTTGCTTTTCTGCTGTGCAGCTGGTCCTCCCTTATGCTGAATTTCATGCTCAGCTGAGCATTCTTTGAGTTCCTTTATGGTTTTTTTTTTTGCGAGTATCATACCTTTGTAGAGATATTTTTGGGTTTTTTTTGCGAGTATCATACCTTTGTAGAGATAACTCTCAGTTTTTCAGACAAGAAAAAAGAAGACATGCAGATACAGTACTTGTTATTTAACCATATAGGCAGGATAAGAATTAGACTCTTATCATGTATATAATTGAATTTAATTATGTAAGAAAGCATTGCTAATCTAAAGGGATTTTCTAATTGAAATTTACCATGTCTGAAAGACTGATTGGTGGGGACCTTCTGGATATCCATGACAACTTTTGTCCTAGTTCCCTTTTTTTTTTTTTTTTTTTTTTAAATAAGATATTGATTCCCCTTTTACTGTATGACAGACAGACAATAAGAGACATTATGCAGCAATAACAGCAACAGGCCATGCAGTCAGATGTGTGGAGTTGCATATATTTTAAAACACCTGCTTATATTATAATAAGTTAAAAAATATCCTAAAATAATAGGTATACCTGGAAAGGGAGGACTTTTCTTTCCTCTTTACTTTGCAGTTAGAGTAGGTAAAAGTATTAGGAAATCAGGAAGTTTTCACATCGATTTTAATCCAAATTTGAGCATGGTATGTAAAATTCAGTTTTAAATTGTTATCTTGAAGTTGCTTGAAACTTTGAGACATACTTGAAATAAAAGCATTGTAAAAGAAACTTTAATGAAACAGCAAGCTTGTTGTGCGGGGGAGTTTATAACTAATCTTTAGTATTAAGAACTTGTGAAGTGTGACATAAAAGCAATAGACTGTAACATTAGATGGGATGTTACTTACATCATCTCCTCTGAGCCCTGTTCCCAGTGCATATTGTTGGCTCGCTTCCAGAAAACGTACTTTAATGTTGTATACTTTTCTTCCATAATAGACAACCAAAACATAGGGTTCAGCGTTTGATTTCTTTGAACAATCTCTAACCAAGAATGTTTCATCCTGTATGACACAGATACAAATTATGGTTTGTATGGTTGGTTCACAAAAAACTTCTAAGCCATTGTGCAGTTTTCTCCAAGAGTTTACACCCAGGTTTTGAGGTAAATTGTACTTACAGTGTTTTCCTCTAACAGCGCCCTCTCTGCTTCATGGCGATCATATTCTCCAATGTACCATTCATACTGGTTTAAATCCTTAATTTTAAAATAGTATAATCAGTGTATAGAAATTAACCACAGCTGGCAGAAGCAAAAGCCAGTGAAAATAGATTATATCTAATTTGCATTTAAAGCAAGTTTAGCACAGTTTATAAAAATAATTGTAATGCATCTATATCAAGAAGTCCTGTCAGGGAATCTGAATCAAATTAGACATGTAATTCTTATCCCTGGTTTCAAGAGGTTGGTTTCAGGGTTTCACAGTGGACTGTTTTCAGGGGTGCTCAATACCCCCAGCTTTCAGACCATTTAACTTATCAGGTTTTCAGTAAACAGCAGTTCTTATGGTATGTGTGACCTATCGTGATAATCCTGTTTTCTAAAAACCTGTCTCCTTATGAAGTGAAGCGTTCTTTACCTTTTCAGTGGGTTGGGTAAGAGATTGCATTTCCTGTTTTACAGGTGAATGTTTTGATTTATTTTTGCATGCTGCGTACGGCATAGGAGATGGTGACCTCTTCACTGAAAAATTCTCTACATTTAACATGGACCCTGTAAAAGTAAATTCAGGAGGAAAGAAGTTGTATTTTTTTAAACTTACATTATAGTTTCATTTTACCCTATCAGTTTTACTTACTAAGTCTGAGAGTAGCATTTACAGTTTAGATATACAGTAATGTGATATTAACCTTTAAAATTTAGAGCTGTCAGTTCTGAGTTGTCTTCTGCTAATGCAGCACCAGTGATTTCAGATTCATGTCCCAAGAGATTTAACACTTTAATTTCCTGACCTTTTTAATTGACATCACTCTGCCAGGTTCTTGCTCACTTAAACATAGCATAATATTAAAGATAAACTATTAATAAAATAGCAAATGCTAAATAAAATAATACATGTGGGACAAGTTAACTGTTCATTCTGTTCTACTTCACACGTGGGACAAGTTAACTGTTCATTCTGTTCTACTTTCACCTTTCCGGTACCTTTTACTTGTGTTGGATCAGAGCTGCTGTTATGTTGGATCATATTAAAGCCCCTTATTATCCTATTGCCAGCTAGCATTGTTTCCGCCAAGCTGTTGAAACCTTAAAGGATTCAGAGGTTCTGCCATGCTGATGAATTTCAGTCTGCTCTGCAACTTTTAAGTCATCAAGGTGAGCAGCTCCAGTGCCGGCACGATCCAAACAGCGACTTGAAAGGAGATTGTAGGATAGCAGGGGGAAAGGCCACTTGTTTGTTCTGTCCCTGTTGTTTCATGAAGGCAAGGAATTTATAGAGGGAAAAGGAGATTGTGCTGTCCCAGAGAGCCTGAATGACCAAGAACAGTAGTAGGGGTGGTAGGAAGTGTCTGAAGTGGAGATGGGTGTGAGAACAGCAGGAAACAGACACCTCGGTGAGCTCTGTGGATTCTGTAAAGAGAGCTTTTTTTAGTAGGTATCTGGAGGAGAGTAAGTGGAATTGCATCCCCAGCACAAGAAGGATATTAATAATCAGAAGTGGCTCAGTGGAAGGCCACCATGAGAGTCAGGGACCTGGAGCCTGTGAAACAAATCTGGGAGAGGTGGGCTTGTTTAGCCTGACAATGGCTGAAGTTAAGGTGAATCCTACTTTATCTGAACAAATAATACAGCCCATATGTTCTTCCTGGTGTTATTTGCTTTTACCATAAATTCACATTACACAACTCAGGTTTTTGGCACAGCTTAGGGGTTTTGATACAAAAGGGCATTTGCAGAGTCAGTTAAGGGAAAAAGTATAGTAAGTGTAGTTAAGGACAGTAGGAAGTTACCAGCATGGATGATTCCTTTAGCTCCTTGATCCACAAAGCCCTAGGGTACAAACTCTCTTTTTAAGGAATATAGCATGAGCTAACTTGGCTGGTGCTTTTTAACGACATTCAAAAAACCAAAAAGACCAAGGTTATGTTATTTATATGTAGTCCATCTAAGGTATAGATACACCTCTTTATCAATAAATCTGTTTATGAAAGTGAGATGTATTGGAGAGTTTCCTTTATAGCACCTTCTATCTTTAGTATGCGTTCCTGCAAAAAGAAATCATATTTACACAACAGAGTAAGTGTTTTCTTTTACTTACACAATTCTTACGAAGAAGTTTGGCTAATAAAGGAATTTTGCTTTTCAGAAGTCTTTAAGTAGATGCTGGGGTGTTCTATGTCTCTTGAGTTTATGGAAATACTTTTTAAAGCAGGTATAACTGTACTGAAAGGTAGGGATGAGCCACACAGACATTTTAGGTTAAATACTAACGAGGCAATATTTTTCTAAAAGGAATTAGGTAGAGGGGTTGGTAGACAGCAAATACAATATTACAGCAAAATGCTAACACAACTTCTAGTAGTGTTTGTAGAAGTATCATCTTCAAGATTAGGGGGACAGTATGCATACCAAGGAAGTGATGCATTAAGTTCTGAGAATCTTAAAGAAATTTGGGGAAAATGAGCAGAGGGACATTGCCACAGTTCCTGGGCAAGTCGTAGCACAGGCTGTTTCTTGGAAGGTCACCCCACCAATTTTAATGTTGGCTTCCAGTAAATTTCTTTGGGTAAAACCACACAGTCCAGGGGTTGTGTGTCTAGGGATTTCCAATCACAATAATTTGACAGACGTGCCTGATAATGGCACCTACAAGTCCTTCCCTCAAGGAATCCGGGATAAATCTAAAGCAATTTCTTCAAAGATCAGTGTATTTGTTTACACATTAAACCCATAGTAGCTGCTTTATAATCTCCTGAACGTCTGTAGCTTACATCTAGCCGGGCTGACTGCATCTCTGCCTGGAAAAGCAGAGACTGTTGTGCTCACAGCATGCTCTTTCTCCGTGGGTGTCTCTTTGTACGCCCAATTTGTCTTCTCTTCCTCTCCCCATTGTCCTTCAGTCCTTAGCTCATCCAAATCCCCTTCCTTTTCTGGATGTGGGGGTCTGCAATGGTTTAACACTTGCATTCTATGTTGGGCATTTCTTAGCTTGAGTCAGGTATGGGGTATAGCCAAGCAACTCTCTGCTTGTTTCTTCTCTGCTATTGACTGTGCCATTGTGTTACTTGTTTTCTGCTTGCTTTCTTTAAAAATCCCTTTGCACTAACTCTGTGCATTGAAAATCCCCAGTGCAGACATACCCACGTAGAAACATGAACCTGTTTCTTCTATCCCCACCTGGTTTCGTTTTCAAAGCAGTCTCTGGTTCTTACCTGAGCTGCAAATCCTTTTAGATCTCTGCGTACATTGAAGGCTAGGAGAAAGCATTGAATGAAAGTAACGTCAGAAAAATATTTCTATTAGTGGCAAGTGTTTAAGTAACAGTCAAATTAGGGAGCAATGCATAGCTGTACTTCCCCAGATTACCCCTTCCTCCTTCCGCAGATTGCAGCTTTGGGCCTTCCTGGGTTTCAGGTGGTAATTGTGTATTTAGCATCTTTTGACAGATTTCTCTTCCATTAATTTCACCAGCCACTTTTTGAGTTTATATAAATATATATATATATAAAAGAGACTGGCAAGAGTTTCACGTTTTAACTGCGTTTGCTTTTGTTCGTTTTGAGCCTGTTCCCTGATAATTTCGCCTGATGTTCCCAGTTCTTCTGTAGGAAGACCCAGGGAGCTGTTGTTTCCTCTCCTTTCTGATTTTCTAGACTGCTGCTGGGTACCCAGCTGGTATTTTGTTGTGCTGTTAATTAGAATGGTTACACTGGGAAGAGCACCGACCGAATAACTTCACATAACAGAGCCACTGGTACCACACAAGAAGAAACAAAATACTAGGGGTCACAAATACTGTCAAGTTTACACCAGACAATAATTTTATCTTGGAGAAATGCCATCATTGTAAACAGGCATGAGATACTCAGTATTTGTCTAGGAAAGATGTGAAATCGTTCACATACTTCCTATACTTTATCCTACGCTTTTGGTTTTTGTCGAGTACTTCAGGAGGATAGAGATTTTAAAACACATTTAGAAAAGGAAGATTTGTGTAGGTTAGAAAAGAAAAATAGAAGCAACTGTGGCAGATTTCTGTGGAAGAATAATTGGCCTTTGCAAGGCCAAGTATGTATTCTTTGTATATAAAAATAGAAAATATGGGGGAGAGGAAATGCTGAGACTGGCGATAGCAGAGCTTCTTTATGGAGTATATTTAACACCCTATCACAGAAAGTGAGACAAAAGTGTAATACAGTAGGATGCTATTAAAGATAAAATTTGAATGTGCAATTAGAAAATCTTGAAAGCAATTCCCAAAGACAGTTATTGTCATGCATCAGGGCAAAACATAATATATATCACTGCATGGCATCAGAAAGTGATACCATCTTGCTTTTATTGCGTAGTGAAGTATAATTTTCTGGGGAAGAACATTTAGTCCTTGAAGCATCCAGTACAAACTCATGAAATTCTTATATTCCTACCTGGCTTCAGGGTGATGCTTTGGTTTATGCTGTTGTGCTCTAAAAGATATTTCAGGTTTCTTCTCCATATGTATAGCTATTAATGAAAAGAATAAGAACTTACTATTTCCTTTTATGCAGAACTTTGACAGTATATAGCAACTAACGTGAAATAAATTAATTAAAGTAATGTACAAGGGATGGCAGTTCCACAGAAGAATCTGATAGGCTACAATCAGTCTGGCTTAAATGAGTCAGCAAATGATTTCAGTGGGAAACATTTATGCTAGTACTGAGTGTTACATGGTGAATGTTACAGGTTTTGCTGATGCCAAATATGGCTTAACATAATGGTAAATAATGCAGAATGCTGTACTAGAAGTATACAGAGGGTTCATAAATCCTTTTTATAGGACAGGTTAGCTAAGCATTGAATGTATTAATGCAGTCAATGCTATTTCTAGCTGAAAATCAGGAAATTGTGCCTTAATCCGCAAAAGGAACTGCAAGAGGAAATTATGAACTCATTAACACAGAGGTGTAAACAGCATAAAAATTATGCACCTTGTATCGACCTTCAGAGTACTTCAGAGTAATATTCTTTTTCATGGACCTTCATGCACACATACACAGTGAGTGGCTTAAGCTGTTTTTTTCCAAGCTGTATGTACATCTAAAGAATTGACATGTTTTTAAAACATTAAAAAACCCCAACAAAACAAACTGCTTTTTGTAGCTTTAAAAACCTAAAGCTTTTAAAAATCTCGCTTTCAAAATTCTCTCCTGAAATTACAGGAGAGGAGCAAGATGGAGAGAAGGGAGATATTCTCTGTGCAGATCCAGTCTTTTCAGGATATCCTTCACTCATTTTTTTAGATTCCAATGCTCTTCGTTTCCCGAGGACCTTAAGACTTGGATTTGCTTAGAACAAATGTGATACCTTGGTTCCCCAAATAGCTGTAGTTAATGCCAGGTTAAATTCCTTTTTTCTGCTACATCTTCCATTAAATCTCTCTGTTCTCAGCAGATGTATACCTGGGGGTGTCTCTTACTCATTTAAATATAGAGCCAGACAGCCTGATGCTACATAGCACGATTGATGTCAGGTTCCTATACTGATTACTTCAGCTGGAGTTTTAATCGTAGAATATTTTATTCTTGGAATATGAAGAAAAGACAACAAATTAATATAGTAATATTAAGCACTGACCTTGTTTGCTTCCAGGTGCCTGTATAAAATGATGACATAGACAGTAAAAATTTTTCTTTTGATTACCACCTTGAACTTGCCCCAACAGACGCAGCTATCTTTGAATTTTAAAACAATTTATAGACATTCAATCATTAATAACAGATCACTTTGTCAAAAATTCAGGCTGAATGTTGATCTCAGTCCACTGACAACTACGAGAACTGAATTTTTAGGGGTATAAGTGAACATACGGTTTATTGCAATGATCACTGTTTCATAATGGCTGTTGTGCATCAGTTTAACTTACAATATATTTTCCATCATTGCTCTTATATTAAATCAAGAGCTTGAATTTGATTGACTGGAGATATACTATCCAAGGATCAAAATCTGTCATTTCTTTTCAGGCTCCTCAGCTGACAGCACAATTATTTTTACTGTCATGGCAGATGCTTCACTTAAAATCACTGTGTGGAGAGTCATAATTCAGCATATTATATTACAAAGAACTGAATGATAGGCAGGTGCCTAGAGATCAGATTTTGACTCAAACTTTCACTGTATTTCTGTATTATTTGAGTCGCACAGGAATAGTAATTATTTTGATTAATTTGATACAAGACTATAATACATAAATATTAAAGAGAAGAATTTTTTAGTCTTTGTAGATGTTGCACATTGAGTCTTCCTTAAGAGTTACTTCCCCAGTAATGTTTTCCCATTACTTAGAAATTCATAGGCTTGCTCAGGTCGGAAGGGACCTAGGCAGGTCTCTACTCTGAGCTCCTGCTTAAAGCACAGTGAACTGTGAGATGAGACTTGGGCTCAGAGCTTTGTCCAGCTGGATTTTGCAAAACTCCAGAACCTAGATTTCACAGCTTCTCTGGGCAACCTGTTGTAACACCCTCATAATTATCCTCATAATTATTTTTTCTTCCTTATTTCTGGTTGAAACCCCCCATCATTTCAAGGTCATTGCCTCCTGTACTTCCACTGCGCACTCTGTAAAGTGCCATGCTCTGCTTTCTTGATCAACATCTCTTAGGTGCTGGCAGGCTGCTATTAGGTTCCCCCAGAGCTGCCCCCATCCAGGCTAAAGGATTCCAGCCCCATCAGCCCCATTTCACAGGGCAGGTGCTGCACACCCTGACTGCATTGGTGACCCTCTGCTGACCCACTCCTCTCTGTCAACAGCAACCTTGTGCAGTACCCCAGGTGTTGTCTAATGAGTGATGACTCAAAGGGAATAGTCCCTTTCCTTGATCTCTTGGCTATGCTGCTCTTGATATAGCTCCATACGCTGTTAGCCTTTATGGCTACCAAGAGCCACACCAGTGGCTCACGTTCAGCCTACGGTCCCCAGGTCCTTCTGAGCAGAGCTGCTACCAAGGGGGTGAGTCCATCCCGGGGCAGAATTTTGCATTTGTCCTTTCCAGTTTCAGGAGGCTTCTCTTGACCCTTTCCTATAGCCTGTCTGGTCCTGGTGAAGGGCAGTCCTTCTCTCAAACCTACTGACCCGCTGTTTGGTGTCTGAAACCCTGTCTTCTCCTCCAGGTCACACTGAAACTATTTATGTCTTTGGAGCTATATGAATGGGAAGTGATCCAAATTAAATTTTATCTTTTCCATGTTATGAGATAGATACACAGTATTTCTCCTTAAGATGTAGCCGAACTAAGGGCCTGTTAGAAGCTGCAGTATTTGTGCAGCTGCACAGTGTCCAGCCAGAAATACTAATTACAGATGTAAGATATTTATTGTTCTTGGGGGTGTTTTCATATTTGGTTTGTAATGAGTCAGTATCTAGCATAAGACAAAGCTTTTAGTGGTAAAATAATTATCTTTCTTGCCAATGTCTCATTTTTTAGCATTATATGTTAAGTACAATATTGCAATCAAACTATGTTTTGTAATGATCTTTCAAACTAATTGAGCTTCTAACTGTGGGAGGACTGAGGTTCTCGGGCAGCCTCCCAGTCGGAATTGTGGCGAAGAGAAAGGATTTGAAAGTCAGAACTAGACTAGTCTATAGATTTGTGCTGCAGCCCTTTCGGATAGGAAATGGCTGGATTTAATTAGTATAGAGTTGCCTTTCTTTCCTGTGTTCCCTTACAATGAGATAAAAAACAATACAATAGAAACACATAAATGCAGTAAATAGAACATGCAGTGAGAAATACAAAATGCCATAAATTAAAACCTGTCTCAGAATTTTACAAACATCCTTTAACACTCTGCGTTATTGTAGGGACTGTGTCTCTTAATATATCTTATAGGAAACCACTTGTCATAACTAAACCCCTTTATTGCTAACCCATTTCCTCTGCTTTACTTCATTGGCCTGAGTAGAAAGTGAAGGAACTTGTTAAAAACCTTTTTCAGAAACTGAGAAAAAACAACCCAGCCATTTTCCTTTACCACTCTTTGCATAGAAGTTGCTGCTTTTTGCTTTATATATGCCCGTAGGAGAATTGACAGCATTGCCTCTCAGCTTCTGCCCTCTGGCTGCAGCAGACTGGTGCAGAGGTGTTTGGTGGTGGGGCTGCAGTCGGCCATGCTGGGAGGAGAAGTGGTCAGCTTGGAGGTGTGGGGAGGGACGGAAAAGCCCTTTTAGCCACTGTCAGACAGGGAAACTCAGAGCCACTGCTTCAGCATCTCTGGCATTGGGAGCACCCATGTCTCAGTGGTGCCTGGAGCCTCAAGCTGCCCTTGGTGGAGCTTTGCAGACCTGCTGTGAGGAAGGTGGGCTGTGAGCTGGGGTGGGAGATGAACTGGGGGATATACTGGGGTTTACTGGGCTGCCCATGGCTCAGGAGGTTTGAGGACACAGTGGAGCGTGAGCTTTGGCAGAAGGGCAGATGGCCTGTGCTGTACAGGGCTGTGCTGGGCTCAGAGGGTGGTGAGGACCAGCCATGGCTGTGGCTGTGGTCCCCATCTCGCTGGGGAGGGTGGCAAGCAGATACATGGGAAGGTAGCTTTACACTGTAAGTATGTTTTTATTTCTGCAAGCTACTTAAGGAACTTACTTTACCATTTGCAGAGTAGCAGTATTGAAAATCAAAGATAGCTACCTTTAGGACCCAGAGCTAATACGATTCTTACAGTATTTTTACCTAATAGGCTAAAATACTGGTACAAGAGAGGCTGTGCAGCCATGGAATGTATATGCTTTTTATGGTCATAATATGTACAAAGATGATTACTTACTTCGTTTAGTTCCTTAACAGATAGATTTCTGGAAAAGAATTATATGCAAAACATTTCATTATCATAAAATAAAAATCACTTTGGTACTTAAATGCTTTGATTACATCATCACTGAAAATTAGCAGCCCGTGGCAGGGGAAGGATTTTATTACTGCTATAGAAATTCAGAGGCTGATTATTTTTTTACATAAATTATTTGCAAGAAAAGGTTATGGACTTCCATAAAAAAGAATAGCATCCCCCGAATTCATTATGGTAAGTGAGAGAAGTCTTTGTTAAGGATTTATTCTGGGGGGAGGGGAGAAGAGATATGAATGATTATCAGCTTTCTTCACTACTTTTCATCTCATGCCAAAACGTCTTATTACAAACCTTAAAGTCAGCTATAAATGGAGGTAAATGCCTTGAAGAGTTTCAAAAATGAAACATTCACAGAGGCAGGATGGAAAGTGTAGAGGAAAGGAGATGCAAACCAGGAAAAGAGAAATGGAGAATGCTTCCCATGGTCCTGATTCAAGTAGGTGTTTTAAGTATTTTTCTGTCTTCTGATATACCTGATCAACAGGAATATCTTCCTTTCCTGAAAGTGATCACCAGAAAATATTCTCCCCCAGGAGGGACAGTGTATTGAGTTTGACATCTTTCGATAGATCTCCTGGGTTTGAGGAACACTCCTGCTTTTAGCGGCTTGCATCTCATACTAAAAGACTTAGAGGACCTGATTTTAGAAGTTTTTCAGCAACATAAGGTGTGGATAGGCGTCTAATAGTTTTCTGAAGGCTCCAGCATTTAGTCCCTGCTTAGCTTACCTCCTGGACTGGGAAAATACAACAGTGAGATATTTAGCTAAATCAGTCAGAGAGAATTCAAAAGGAAGACATGATCTAGAAAACTCTGGGAGCTACTTTTCAACTCTTATTCAGTGAGAAGGGTGTCTCTTCCTTGCGCCTGTGCTGAAAAAATCAGTATGGAGAGTTAAAGAAGCAAGAAATTTGGGAATGATCTGCCAGGGGAAAGTTTCTGGAAGGCTAACAGAAAGGAGAGGAACTGTTTTGGGTTTGGATAGAGTTGCTTTTGTGTTAGCTTCTGCAATTTGTTAGCTTGGTCTTCAAGGTCATTATTTGACATGTGAAAGCCTATATTCAAGACATTGGGTGCATGGTAAAGTTAAGTGATTACAAAGGTGTGTTTGTAGGGCTGGCATCCTCCGCGAGGGGCGTGCCATTCGTATGGCCTGCTTGCCACAGGCACATGTTTAAAAAAGTTTAAATCTCACCAAAGCTTCTAAGACACATTCCAGGATCCTGCACATGCCTATATTTTTTATGAGGCTATTTATAGAGTGTATAAATAATGATGTGTTTAATTTTAAAAGTCTTCCAAATCTTGTTGGAAAACAGGACTCGCAGTGCTAAATCACATCTGTGGTTTGACAGCTTTGCTTACAGTCTAGCAGATAACGGCTGTAGTGCCGTCCTCCTCCACACTGCAGCTCATATGTATGTTTTCTCCTCACAAAGCTGTGACTGGACTGAAGATGAGTGAGAAATATTTTGAGTGAAGTGTTTGTGTGGGAAATTTGTCAAGTGCCTTCCGCATATCATGTGTGGTCTTAGTCTCTTACTCATGTGATTAAAAAAACCCCAGTAGAATTAAGAAACCCCAAACGTATTAGAAATATTTTGGTATCTATAACTGCAGCATGGAGTTTGGCGGCTATGATTTTTGCTGCTGCCTTTTAATTATAGCATAAGAAATTACATGTATTTATATTACAGATTCAGCTTTATAATAGGACCTTTCAAATCCAAGTGCTTAGCATACTGATCTCTGCTGGTGAACACTGCTTACAACAGTTCTCACAGAGCTTTCAATGTATGTGCTGCCCTACTGAGGGAGGGGATCAGTCATGAGATTTGGAACTTTGCAGCTATAGGTCAGGTCACGCATCTGAATATGAAGCTACTTCGTATTAATAAAATGTCTTAACAACCAACATCTTTTGGAACCTAATCTGTGAAAGAATTTAAGCACCGTTCAGGAACCTCCCCATATTTAGAGCTCGCTCCTTAAGTATATACTTAACTTTAAGCAGAGGATTACTTCATTGATTTGTTAGCTTTTTTTTTTCCCCCATGGGATCTGTAGTGACCTTTGTAAATCAAAGCAAAATTTCATCCTGATGAACTGAAATTGAAACTATGGAAGGATGGACAGGCTTGACACAGCTCAGTTGTGCCCAAAATTCTGGCTGGAATGGGTTCTTTGCTGAAAGGCATTTGAGCACTATACCCTGTGGCCTCTGGATGTGCATCGTTTCTGTTCCCAGCATGTGTCCACCACCATCCCCATTTTTGAATGTGCATTTTGGTTCCACAGTAAGAGCACATGCCAGTGAGCAGTATACATACATGCTGGCTAGATACATGCGTTATGTGAAAAAAAGCAACCAGACTCATAACCTGGTCATACAGCTGGACACAAGCGGTCTGTGCTTCAGGGCTCTGCTCATCCAATCTGCCATGTCAGGATGCTGAATGAACATGGGTGTTGTGTGATGGGGAAGGGCAAGATGGAAAGGGCAAGATGCAAGTCATAGTCTGGATTCATTGGTGTCACGGGCTGGAGCAAGACTTCTGGCTACTGATTAGTCGTTTCTTTTGCTGAATGTAATGTCCTTGGGATGTGGAGCGTGTTTCTGTATCTCTGGTGCGGTCAGTGTATTTCTTCATCACTTGGTTCACCAACTGTGCTAAGCAAGTGCAATTGTTTCTACTTAGAAGTGCTTGCAAACCCTCTAAATATTAGTAAGAAAAGGTAGGACAAACCTTAAGCAAAGTGTTCATGAGAGTTCCACCTACTTTTCCACTCTTTTACCATATTTTGGCAGTTTTTTCTTTAAGAAATGCTAGTGTCACATTACACTAGATGCTTCTCTCAATTATTCACAGCTGTCTAAAGAATAACTTTTTTTCTTAAGTAAAAGCAGAGGTGCGATGGAGGTAAAGTCTCGTGGTTTGACCGTGGAGAGTGTTTTGATTCTCAGGGAATGAGGATGAGGAATGCACCCATACCTTGTGACTTTTGCTGTTATTGGAAAAGTATGAGCTTGGCTGAGCGTTTTTCTCATGTGAAAGAACTGGCTGCTTATCTTCGGCTCCGGAGGAAGCGGCTGATACTGCTTTGGCAATGTCTTCAGAGGCCTAGAGAAGTCAGAGGAGAGTTTGAAGAACTGTTAGGGAATAAAAGAGGCAGAGGGACTGTGTTGTAAGTGCAAGCTCAAGAAGTAAGAGACTGGAATTTTCCAAGAGCATTTCAATGTATTTGTGCTGAGTTTAGCTCAGGTCCAGGAGCTTCTTGGGGCCCTTCATAGCACTAGTAATTTTGGATAATATTCTACATTTGTAAGACATTACTGTACTGTGTTACATGCCACTTAACACTGCTTTCATGCACTTCACCAGTATGTGCCAAGTACAGCTCTCCAGTGTTGATATTTCTGGGTGGATATGGCTGTGTAAAAGGCCCAGCCAGGGAACACACTGCAGTTCAGGCACACAGGAAAAATGCTCTTCCTCCCAGAAAACTCACAGCTAGCACATGCCCAGTGTTTTCTGGCAGTCGTGGGCATGCTCTGCCCACGCTTTGAGCCCAGCCAGTCTCATCCCAGCTCCAACTGGGAGCTGTAGCGCAGAGAGCTTGGGTGAGTAAAAGTGGAGGTGCATCCATCCTGCACTGCAGACCTGCCCTTTAGCAGTGGGCTCCTGGGGAGGGAGCCTTCTGCATTTGCATGGTACAGACCAAAATTAAGTCAGATGAGAAAATTAAGAACCATTCTGGTCACTGTAGTGCAAATAGAAACAAATAGTGAAATATTGTGGAATAATGAAATGAGAATGTTCTTATTTCTGTGCTTTTACAGTTTTGAATTTATGAAGCTACACTGTCCTTTTATGGTCTTAATTCATATTCTAACTTAAAGAGTAACCTGAATATGTCTGTAATACAAATTGTATTTTAAACTTATTTACAGCTTTTATGGCAGTCAGTACAGGCACTGAGGAATAATCTAGTCAGTCTCGAATGACCTTTTAGAAGGATGTCTTAATTGTAGCAGTTATTATGGTTTGGGTCTGAAAAGATCAAGAAGCAATTAATTACTTGTTTGGTGGCATACAATAGAAAAGTATATTCATGGAATAGAGCTTGCTCCATCTTCTATGGGAGTAAGTGGCAATATTCCTGATTTCTATGGACATGATTTAGATTTGTAGCAAAAAATTGGCAGAAAGATTTGAGAGGCAATGGAGTCAATATGGTGAAAAGAGCCTAAGGCACCAATACAAATTGACGTATGATTTTTTTCCCAACAATTTATAACTGAGTTGAACCAGATTCAAGATTTCTAGGCTTTTGACTTGTTTGTAGGCTCAGCCAAGTTGATTTTAAAGATGCAGGCCTGAGCTCCAGCTATCAACACTTACAGCTCATGTTTTGGTCTCCCTAATTTAATTTCAGAACCTGAAAAAGTCCAAACAGAGCCAGGTAGTAAAAGGATGCCAGCTCACTTCTAGTCCTCTTGTTACCATGAGCGGTACAGAGGGATGTGAGCATTCATTAGCACTGAGTTCCCCAAGGAACCGCAGGTAAATGATCTCTTAAGTGATCTTACCGTGGGGGAGGCACAGGATTCTGGAGAAGAGAGGAAACAAAAATCTGTGTAAGCTTTATTCCTTGTTTTAGTAAGGGAAATGTAAAGAGTTTATAGATTAAGCAGACATGCCTGCCTCAACAGTCAAAGTGTTTATGTACTCTACAGCACATATCATCATACTTCAATATGAATATGCTGTTTTAAAATGGCTGAGGAGCAAAAGTTGTCTATGTAAACCATGAATGCAAATAAGTGAGATAATGTAGGGCTGCAGATATGAGTTCTCTTATCCTTCAGTTAGTGCTAGTGAAATTGCAGCTTGCTTTTAAAAATATATTCAATGGCAAAATGGCCTGCAAAAATTTTAATTGATGAGATTCTGCTTACCTCGGGTCCATGTATTTTCACTCTTTGTCCTAAAGATAATTATTAATAATTGTTAATGGAGTGCTGTCCATATAAACAACAAAGTTATAGCTTTGTTCTGGTATTGTTGTTATTGTTATTGGCAGTCCAGCCCCATCCTTCCCCCTCCCCTTCTCTACCTCCAGAACTTGGTTCCAAGGTCATGTTGCTGTCCCCACAGGATTCATCCTACCTATCGCATCTGTACCTATATAACTTTTCCTGCTATTGAATGGGAAGCAGTAATTTCTGTGAAGTGAGGGCTGGAAGCTTCAGAGGTTCAGTAGAAGGTTATTCTGTGTGGGAATGAAGGCAAGTCACAGCCTAGACCTGCGATGGAGGTCACTGAAGCTGGGACTCAGTGTGTGTTTTCTCCGTTAGCTGTTCTGCACACAAGGCCAGTGGGCTCTGAATGAAACTTATTGCACGTGGTGTGGATTTTGTTTGATCTGTAATTTATTTAGCCTCCTTTAAGGATGGATTCACGGATGGATTCAGATGCAATTTGTAACTCATTCTCAACCATTTGTGCTTCTCTCCATATAAACCACAAGACTAAGTATACTTCAATAATTATGGTGATCATAGAAAGGTTGAGAATCTTCCTGTGTAAAATAAATCTTTTTAATATCACTCACATTCATTTCATAAGAGACATAACTAGGAATTAGTTAAAGTTCAAGCAGGAAAAAGCAAATATTTTGTTTGTTTTCAGCTTAAAATATAAAATCAAGGAAATAAAAAAATCATCATGATACTTGATAAAACAGAGTGAACTTTGGTTTTTGTTCTTTCAGAATGAAACATCTGAGGGTGATATTTGTTCAGGTATTGTAAATTTAAATATTGTTCAGAGACTTTATGCTTATCAAGTTGTTTGGGATGCATTTTTTGTCTCTTGATTTTTGTATAGAAATTTACAGAAGTCTTGAAAAGCAATGAAAGTAAATCTATTTTTTTTTATTTTAAAATTTACCAAAATATGACTGATTATTTCAATGGACACAGGACATCTTACTAATTAAAAACCTATCTTTCTCTGTTTGCATTGTATTTTGATTTTGAAAATATTTTCATGAGTTCTACATACCGAAATCCTAACTAATGCAAAAAGACGTGCAGTGTATATTAACTTCTCCTTCAAGTAATGCATAACAAATTGCTCTGAATAAAATGATGGTACCTTAAATGTTTAACAATTCTAGAAAATAACTTGACAAAAAATCTTCTGTGCTGTTCATGCCATCTTGTGGCAAAGCCACTTAATAGCACTGCGCATGAGGATAGATGTTAAGATTCATTTAATAACAGTGTAGTTATTTTCTAACAATAATAGAGTCTTCTATAAGCACTATTAGCTCAGGATGTACTAACAATATGTGTAAGTTGCATTCTCAAACTGCAGAGTTTACCTGCCTGCCCTGTCTTTGGTTCATCTTTCTTAATGTCAGCACACATCTCAAGGAGGCAGACAAACATGTAAATCCAACCTACTAAATCCTGGTGGAATTTGAAGCTTTATCTGAACTGGAAAACTGTCAGTGGGACCTTTCCTACCAATTTCTGCAGATTTTGCAGCTGACTTACTTGAATTTCTCTCAATTCAGCTTTTTTACAAGCTACATCAAGATTTGCTCACCAGAGTCAGTCTAACCTCTCATTTTGCAAAATTTATAGTGCTTACTTTCTCATAATCTGTAGGGATTATTTGGCTCTATGTTTTGTATTATAGTATGAACTAAAAGGAAAAAAAAATAAATTGTTTTGCATGGAATTCTTTGTGTTATTTTTCTGGTTGATCAACTATAACGCTTACCCTGAAAATCAGCTGTTACAGCAAACATAGAAAGGATTGTATTTTCCTGGCCTGGCAGTTGCATTCTTTTTGACCATATTTAGCATGTAGTTCAGAGTTGAAAATGATAAGAGAAAAAATATCATTCCCTTTGAAGGTTAATCAGATATTTCATCCTCCAGTAGTTGACTTCATGAGGTATTGCTACATTTAAAGTATATCAAATATAAAAAACTATATATAAAGGTATATAGAAACCTACTGTTAAAATAATCTTATGATTGAGTTAAACCATAAATTAAAGGATTCAATAGTTGGACACCTCATTAGGTTCTTGAAGAATAAGATAGCAGTCTGTATCCAATTTCACCACAAGAAAAAAAAAAAACAGAACAAACAAAAACTAAAGGTACATTGGTGATTGAAAATAATAGGATTTTGAAGAAAATTTACAGTTAATGGTAAAGCAGTGGAGAAAAAAATATATGCTAGATGACATACCATATAATTAGCTTATTCTTAGTAGGAGAACATTGTCAGATAGCTTTTGTAAATAGTAACCCTAGGATGTAAATCCTTAGTAGGAATTGCTATAGTTGATATTACTATTTTAAAATAGTTATTAGATTATGCTTTACAATATATTCATACAAAATGCCTGAGAAGGATAGGGAGCCAAAAAGCAAGGGAGCATGAGAAGTAAAGCATAGCAGGGATCTTGCAGCCTTTTGGTGGAACATTTCAGGAGACACAGGCTTCCCCCTGCCCTTATGTCCTTATAATTGTAGGGA